TTCAGTAATTTACAGACAATTTGGGTGATAGTAGCCAAACACAAAGCAATGTCTAACAAAGATTTGGTAGATTTCGTTTCCAGTTTGGACAAATGAAACCAATTCGGTGCATTCTGAATTCTATGTGGAAAACCCTGCATTCTATTTGAAGGCCACCAGATGGCGATGGCTGCGATTATAAAAAATAAAAATAAATAAATAACAAGACTGATATAGATTTCTATGGGAAACAGATTTTTATCCATCAATCCTTTTTCTGAAGCTGGCTTGCAGAGGCAGCAGCCTAAGCAGAGAAGCTCAGACCTCCCCGTTCCTCGTCCTCCAGCCTATTCAAGTGAACATGGAAGTGGTGCTCCCAGGCCAGCCGAAAGATGCAAGCGTGTCCTGGGTCTACCCCGAGGCCTTATTCTGGTAGGACATGCTTAGAACACCTCATGCAGGAGGCGCTCATCCTGGTCAAATGCCTGAACCACCTCAGCTGGATCATTTTGATGTGGAGTAGCAGCAGCTCTACGCAGAGTCCCTCCGAAGGTTATTATATTTTATTGACAGGACACAGACTGAAATGCTAGGATGGCTCCTGCGTTGCCTACTAACATTACGAGATTGAACGTTAGCATTGGGAACACAGTTGATTTTTCAGCTGCAATGCCAACTATCTCAAACAAAATAGCAATATTTCCTAAGAAAAATAATATTTTAAGAAGATGTTGCATTGAAACTCATTCCCCCTCGAATTCTTTGGACAGATCTTGTCTATGGATAGTTCCTTCACTAAATTTAAAGGATTTCCTCCCTTTGTCTACAAAGCTGGACAGTATCACTTGGATATTGGTTTGACTGCCTTTCCTATCCGCAAGTTAGGGTGGACACATCGCAGAAGTTGTACTAGTCGCAATCTTCCATGTGCTGTTTTTTTGCGTGCTTATGGACATCTTTCTTCTTCAGCATGTAAGGACAGACTGGAACACTTGTAGACATATGCTGCCCCCTTCAGTTCCAGAAGAACTGTAGTGGCAGATATGCTGCACACGGTACCCACGGTAATAAAGAAAAACACGAGTACCATCGTGTTGTCAGAATATCTGAATCAAAAGTTCTAAGTATTGGTTCTGGTGACATCCTAATTACAATATGAATGTCGGTCTAACAAAAAGATTTAAAGCCACGAGAGTATAAGCAGTAAATTTAGGACTGAAGAAAGAGAGAGAGAAGAAAAAAGTGGAGGCTGAGCTCAGAGGTGGCATCACTAATCAGTCTTTTTACTGGCATGCTGTCAAGAGAACAACAAGACAGAGAATCACTGGGAGAATTCCAAAGAATGGATAAAAATCAGCCATTAGCAGCTGAATCATACTGGTGTGATGATAGAAGAACAGAAGAAACTATGATGCATAGAGCCACTATTTCTGTGGAGACAATCGTCTCCAGGAATACATGATAACCTTTTTTTGTTACAGCTCTACACAAGACTGAGATTAAATGTTCACTTTCAGATTTAGCTTAGGTGAACGGTTTAATTGAAACTTGGTGTCTTTAGCAGCAACATAACCATCGATCTAAATTACGCACAGACTTGCATAGCCAAGATCCTAGGATTCAAATTTCCGCTATCATAAGAAAGTGTGAGACTAATTAAGTGTATGTTTAAGTATGAACAAGAACATTTATCATCATCAAAAAAGGCAACCTAAGCAGAATTTTTTCTGTTGACATCAACATCTGATAAGGATCAAAATTGAGAGCAGGAATAAAATCATTCATTCTGCTCAAGCCTGATTCAAGATGACAGAAGAGTCCAGGCCTCGCTGGTTTTCATGTGGCTCGAAATGGGCAGTTGACCAGATGACACAGCCAATAGTACACTGCATCTTTGTTTCTTCAGTGAGGAAAGAAACAAGGCCACAGCCAGTGACCCCGAAGACTTGTTGTGACATCTGGCACTGGAATACTGCGACGTTATCAGCCGGGCACTTAACAGAAGTACGACACACCAGAACAGCCCTCTTCACCTCTGCCTCAAGTTGTTGAGATCCTCAGTGGATCATATTTTATGAGATATGAACCATGTAGTTAGTCCATATGAAGTTTGAGTTAGACTCGAAGGAATACTCAACTCAGATGAATTATAACTTGATGGGAAATATATATGGCTAGACATTGACTTTTTTGTCTTTTAGCCTTTTATCAAGTCATTTTGGACACAGCAGTCTGCTCAATTTGAGGAAAGATTTCAGGCATTTTAAGTCGTTAATAAATATGGTGCTCCATCCTTTTCAAAGGATCAAAAGGCAATTAACATAGCCTTTGGGCTATTTGCACAAAAGCTGTTGATTATCCCGGAATCCTTTCCATGGTACAGAAAAATCCCTTTGTCGGATCAATTCATATGAAGAACACCTCCAGGTACCCGAGTGGGCAATTAAGGTTCCCAAGGGGCCACATGAGAAAACGGGCCCTTATTGTTAAGCTCACAGTGAGCAGAGACTTCAACAATAAGCTGAACTCACTGCTCACTGTTAATTTTATCTCGTCAGAAGCTTATTGGTGCAGTCCTCCACAACAGGCCCATTTTCTCAGGTTAACATGGGAAAATTAATTGCCCACTCCTGCTCCAGGTGGTAGATGTATTATCATTCAGTTCCACTAGCATGAGGTGCAAACCAGTAATTGGCGCCAGGAACAGAATAAAATGTCTACAAGACACGCCGAGAATCGACTAAAACGGCTCATGATCCAAGGAATACAACATCACCTCTACAACACTGGGCAGGGAGTCTAACATATGGCCATTCGTAGCTTCCAACCAGCTGTCACTGGCTTGCTGATGTTTAAGCAATGTGACAGAAGACAGGTAAAAGACCGATGAATTCAAGTGTAGAGCACAACGTTTTGCTCAGATTCAGTGAAAAGTTAAAAAGAAAAAAAAAAATTGAAAATGAATATTTTAATTTATGATTATGTTAATTTGCCCAATCACATTACAGCTCCTAATGGCTTTAATTCCTTAACAGTTAATAGGATTTCTCCCAGCCTCTTGAATTAAAGCTAAACATCTCCACTTAAACTGAATATTTATTGCACAAATAATCACTGTGGTGGCATACACTCAAAATTATGCCTTTGTATCCAAATGCTTCTAGACATTATTTCCTCTGAACCTAAAAAGTAAGTAAATGCAGCTGTTATTTCACTATTGGTCAACCACTTGTACTCAAGTTCACTTCGTTTATCATAATAAAACCTGAAGCACTCAATTAGTTAGGAAACTGCTGCTGATTTTGTCATCCATCCTCAGCTGCAGTTCAAAAGACAGCACACACATCCTGGTCTAAACAGCAGCCAATAATGTGCAGTACAGTTCCTTTGACACAAAACATCCCCCTAAAGACGTTTTGACGTCTACTCCAACTGTGTCAGACGTCTGCGTTCGCATATTGAGTTTCACTGGCTACTTTATAGTAAAGAACACCTTTAGGTGTTTGAGGCTGTGTGAAAACAGTGCTTGACTTTAGAGTGTCCAAAGGAAAGCACTCATTATCATAAAAACCTCAAACAGTAAAATTGCTCCTTTATCAGCTATCTGGAGGGAAATGAGGTTAACTGGCCTGGAAGGACCACAAGCAGCCACCTGGCAAGCACAGCATGAGAGGAGGCTCCTGGGTGCTGAAGAGGGGCGGAGAGTTGTCAAAACCAGCCAGAAGTGCACATCGAGCTACTACCCAAAGGCATCATTCACTCCAACTTGATGCATATTTCAAACTTTGAGCATAATGTAACACATTCATTATTGTATTACAGAATTCATCCAACCAGCACCTACAACCAGGCTGCATCCCCTCAATCTCCTACACCTGTAAAACTTGGCTGTTGAATGTTGCCATGTGTGAAAGTAGGAGTTTTCACTCCCACACACCAACAATCACCCCACAAAACTGCGAGTAGCAAACAATAAGGTTCAACCTTTAAGTTAACGAGCTAAGGCTCAATAAATTGATTTGACTTTAAAATCAGCAATTTGCTGATGTAAAAAGCATTGCCGTAACCATTTCTCCATAAAAGCAGAAGCACTCCCCATCCGCCACCATCTACATATCAAAGCATTTCAGAGTAATCACCCCATCACGGCCTTGACAGGTGCAAGCTGGTGGCCTGGAACAAAGCCAATCCTCATATATCAGGGCAACTTTAAAAGATGACCCAGTTGACACTGCGAAACACTGTAACTGCAATCGGATCCTTGTGAAGCATGCAATCATTTAGCCCCGATGTGTGTCAGTTCTCATAAGGACAGGATGCTGCTAAGCACCCCCTTTAATGAGGTCTAGCTTCTCTGTAATAAGACAGAGGAGGTGGGAGATGCTACAAAATCATTTTGGATCACTGCTTTAAATCTATTCCAACTGCGACTCCTTTACAGGTTCTTGTCTCCAGTCTTAACAGCATAAAGGAGAATCGCTTTAATTTGAGCCGCAACAAGCAATTGTTGATATAGCTGCTCAAAAGTTAAAGGTAATCTGCAATCGTTTTCATAATGGGTCAGAAATTTTACTCACTTTCAAATAGAAAAAAAACAAAACAAAGCAAAACCAACTTGGGGGGTTTCAGCTTCTGATGTGTTGCTCAGACCTTTGAGAAATAAGCTCCAGATGAAATAATCCATAAAATAACTGACTGTCAACTAAATTTGGAAGCAACTGTTAGCTGTAGTTTTTTTATTTTATTTATTTTTTTAATCTGGTGGATCTTATTTTGAAAATATGAACTTTTCTCCAGGTAGGTGCTGCTGGGGAAAACCTCATTGTGCAGAATACCAGAGCGTTTTCTACCCACGAGTTTCTGCAGGTGTGTGCTTGCGCGCGTGTGTGCCCGCGGGTACATGTAACAAGGAGGGGAAAAAAAACCCAAACCCGCCCTACATTTTAAACCGGGTTCAAAATGATCCACTGTCTGAAGAAAGGGTGAAGAAAGGCTTAACTGGAGCAAGAGGAATCACTCACCGGCCAAGCAAACTGGAAGGGGATCACAATCCTGCCAGCATCGTCGACTTTATTCGGGTTATTGTTGGCGCCCTTAAGAGAAAACGTATTTCCACCGACAACTTGCGTAGATTCAGCTCCGAACGTGCAGAAGCCAGTGGTGGCCACCTCCATCTGATATTCCTTCAGGCACACTTTGAAGTAAGTGTCGCACTCGTCTTGAGTGCAGCTCAGGTCCTGGGAGCTCCGGGGACCGTCGCAGCACTCCCCGTCCGCCAACTCGCCGTTTACATTCTCCACGGAGATCAGCTGCAGCTCGAAATAGCCGGTTGACTGGGACACCTACAACCAACGTATATACATTTTTTTAATAGAGAGAACTAGGCTCTTGTGGAGAAATTACAGCATAATTTATACATCTTAATCTGGTGCGTAAAAAAATAGTATGGAAGTGGCCAAATCTGAGTCTTACTCTCCATTTAAAACGGTATAGAGGTTTTGGAGATTGGGTGGATGTGCCACAATATTTTTCTGCATCATGAATGGAGCACGTGAACAGCGTACAGTTTGCACGCTGGGATTTTAGACAATCAGGTTACTCTCAGACGGGAGCGAATTAACCGCTGCAGCAGCCAATTGATGCAATCCAACTTACAACTTGTTTGGTTCAGGCCTAATTCTCTCCCCTCAAGAAGATGAAGAAATTCAAATAAAGGAGTCAGCATTAAACCAAAATGGAGAGTAGCCTGTATCAATTCCTTACACTTGTCATGGTAACACGATCACATGCTCCACAACTGACGGCTACGTAATTCAATTATCGATTAATGTGACGCGAATATGCGTCGCCGGAGAGCCAACGCATCGCTCCACGCCCACCAACTTTTTAATTTGAATTTTAAACATTTTTTTTTTAAATTAGCAGAATTAAATAAGAGTAATAAATAAATTATTTTTAAAAACACCCTCTTACCTCCGTCCATAACGTCAACAGCAGGCACACTATTGGGAAGCAATTCCTAATCCTGGTGAGATTCCACATGCCTCCGACTAATTAGAGTGATATGTGGGGAGGGGGGGACGATCTTAAAAAAAAAAAAAAAAAAAAAAAAGACAAACAGCCGCGGACCCGGCGACTAGTTCCTCCTCTCCATACATGCAAAGATGGAATATTGACACGCGTGTCGTCTCCAACGTGTACGTCCCGATTTCAGCGAGGCATTACATGCGTGTGTGTGAACAGGCGGCGGATTGCAGGCGCAGTGATGGTCCATGTACAGCAGCGTCCCTCCGTCAAATCTCTCCACACAGCAACTGAGATGTTTCGTTGCCACAGCCTGAGGAGAGGATGTCTGCTGTGATTGGCAGCTCCGCAAACCACTTACAAATTGGCCTGCGGGCAGTCTCTGAGCCAACCGGATTAAGGGGCGGACAATAGTATAATAACCCCCGCTTCAATCCTCCTCCACCTCCGCCTCCTCCCAAAACTTGAATTGTACTGCCTTTCTATTGAGCTTCATTTAGACAAACCGCATTACAGCGTGCAAACAAAGCAGGGGTCGACTTTAATTAAACGCGGCCGCAAAGATATTATAATGAGCATGGCCATTAGCCTATGTCAAATTAGGAATTTATCGGCGCTGCTGTGCTTTTAATTACAGTCTTAATTAGGCCCAGAGACAAATTTGGATGGGTGTTTAAATGAAGTGACGCCCGATGGCAGAAGGCACATTTAAAAAAAAAAAAGATTTGCTCCTAAAGTTAAAAATAAAAAATAAAGCCCTACAAATGTGCTAAATGTTTGGCGTTAATCTGCGGGGATTAGTTGATTCATTTACAGTACAGTTTCATTTTCTTTTCAAGTGGTTGCTTTTGATTTGATCTAATAATGCTTAAAATTGTTGCCACTAACACCGTTATTGGAGTGATATGGAGAAATAATCAGGTCCTAAAGTATTTAATCTAATCATCCACATTTCTGGATTATTAACTGCGATTAAAGGAAAAAAATACTCCATACAACGCAACACTTTTCAGTCCACGAATTGCAGTTTAGAGCGCCCTCTACTGTCCATGCAATACTCGTCAACTTTAAAAATATGAAATCATGTTCGAATTTTTCCAGTATTTTTTAGGTGTTGCGTGGATCTTAAGTTAAAAACACAAACCTACTGTTGGTGCAGCATTTCCCATCATACATTTTCTCTTGTTTCCTTTGCTTCTCTGTTCTCTGCTGCATCTCATTGCTATTTGATTTGACCACACAAATCCACAATAAAACCTCTCCCTTATTGACTTAATGAGCTTCCTTGTCCTCAGCTCATTCCGCTGCCTTTATACTCCACGAGGAGTGGAGGTGACCCCCTCTCGAAGAACGCAACGACAGCAGCAAGCGCGTTTGGTCATATAAAATGACTCCTCTTCTCTCAGATTGTACACAGAGACATACATGCTCACAGAAACAGATGTTTGGGATACCTGCATCACCTGACAGCGCACTCAGGTGATCTGGTCCTCCCTGACAGATGGTCAGTCCTTACCAGTGTTTTTCCATGCTTTTTAAGCCCATTATAAGCACAGCAATACTCATTTCTCAAAGCATGTTCAAGCTCTTTTGATATTTCTTTCTTCCTGCATTGAAGAAGTGAATTAAGGTCACTTCTAATAGGCAAGCTGCAACTAGCGGCTGCTCACTCCGAAACCTAAAGCACCTGCTGTGAAAAAGGCTGCTGTGAAAAGGCTCCCACTTTAACCATTCCAGTTATTCACCCACAACTAAGAATGAATTCTCCTTTAATCTAATGCTAATTTACACTTTTACAACTTCCTCATCTTCGACCCGATTGAGCCAGACTGTCCACAAATTGTATTTCTTCAGTACTATGAGCCACACCTTAGCATGAGCGTGATTTGTAGGTTAAGGCTCCCGATATTCAGTAGTTTAGCAGCCCCTTTATTTGTTATTTTGCTAAATACTATAATCATGTAAGTAAGATGTGCACTCATATTAACAGGACTGGATGTTTTTGACTGCAACATTAACTGCATGGGTCATAGATGGGAGGTATTTAAAGAAAACTAACACTCTGTTTCAAGCCTAACATTGCTCCGTTAAACAAGTACCCAGATAAACTGGCCAAAAACTATGACAACAATTCTACAGGCTCAGGTAGACATTTACCACGCTACCAGGATAAACTGCCACTCAAAATGTACGTGACAGCAGCCTTCAGCCTCCTTTCATGTCACTGTCTCCTCCTCATCAGGCGCCTGCCAACCTGTCAGATAGGCCTTGAAGGAGGCTGCCGATATCCTAAGCCACCGCAGTCGCTTTGACTGGAACATTTCACACGCTGTCACAAGTACATGTGAGTGCCTTAAGTTGGATAAGTAAATAGTCTTGGGTGGCAAAGGAACAATGTGTAAGAGTGTGCATGTTCCATGCTGGGAGATAATGGTTCAGCTTGTGGTCAGCCCAAAAAAATGTGATGCAGGCTCAAAATACAGTATTTAAAATTTTGGTTGCTTAAAAATTCTTGTGCGCTACCCTAAACCTACTGACCCAATGTCTGCACTGTTTAAAAGGAATCATGAGAGTGGTATTTGTGGCTTTGGGATATTTTGCCAATGTTGCAAACACAAATGTTCCCCTCTGGGATCCATAAATTTTCAAACTACAGCCAATAATTTTCTTTTTTACTGAATACTGGAGCTAACGACCTGCCCGGGATGCACCGTGCTCTCATTGTCTGACAGCTGGCATAGGTTCAAGTCAGCCCCATGACCCTAGGTAAGCAGAGGAAGATGGATGGATGAAAGGACTGTTGCTACTGGTCTTATTGGTTTTTGGTGTTGCTAAACTAAGGCAGTGACCAGCATGTTTGCATTGCTATTAGGATGCTGGTGTTAATGTTTAGCAGAGAGCCCTAGAGTAAAGCCTAAGAGATAGATGTGGCTTTAGATTTACCTGTTAAAGTCCTCTATATATGAAGGTTATTCATAACCAATCTCTTGCATTAAAAGCATATATTAAAAATGCTTTTATTCCCATATTCAGCACTTCAATAGCCAGACGTGTTTTCATGTCACAGTAGAAACGCATCTGTGAAAGCATTTAGACGTTTATGATTCACTAATATGAGTCTCTCCTTTAAATGTGTGACTAATGCAATTTGTTCAGCATATCTTTAAGCTCAAGGATTCTTAATACATTCGTTTTTTTTTATATAAAATTGATCAAAGGGGGGGGGGGGAACCCGCATTCTGAATTGAATCCCAACAAGAGAAAATCAATCAATAAATTTAAGATTTATGGAGCCTCGCTTTATCACATCAGTCACGGATAACATCTATAATGTTATAAAAGACTAATATTAGCACCAAACTGATGAATTCTAACACCTACCGAGGACCTGAGGCGGTGTGTGTGCCTACCGTGTCTTCCTGTTTGCATACACCACATGCATGTGTTTGAGGCGCAGGGAGAGGAGTGTGTGTGCAGGAGGAGAAAGGATTATGAGTGGGAGCGCTGTGGGGGGTTTGCCAGCCTCCAGGGGGGAGGTGAAGTGGATTTCTTCTCTCATCCATTTTTCATGGCTTTTCTCCTTTCAGATCTCCAGTCTCTGTACATACGGCTGACGGGTCGATTCTCTTTTATCTTTAAGCATCTTTCGGGGACTCTGTGTGTGTGTGTGCGGTGGTGGTGTTTGGCGGGGGTGGTGGAGGTGGCTTGGGTCAAGGTTGAGGCGTGCTGTTTTTCATCAAGCTCTAATGGCTACGAAGATGATGATCATTTGCTGATGTCTTCGGATTTTTAATAGAGGTGGGTAGCTTCATTACCTTGGTCGGAGGAGAGTGAATTCCAAATACTTAGTGAGGTCTGTGATTTCTACAGTGCAGATGGCTGCATCTCAGAGGAATATTACAGAGGCCGGTCCACATGGACCATAAACACTACTATTTAATAGCAGTTTATTTCCCTTGTGGATTTATTCAAACTCATGTCTTTAAAAGGGACTTTGAATGATTAAAGACCTCCGTTTGTGACCTCTAGAGTTCAGCCTTCACTGACCAAACTTGTTTCGTGGCCACAACCTTTCCCCCTTGACCTACTTAACTGGCATCAATAACTGCAATATTCCTATTTAGAGAGGCAGTTTAGGTTCAGAACGTAACGATCACCTTGATGGCTTTGTCCTTTCTGGTTTTCAAGGTCTTTTGTTTTTTTATTTTTGCTTTATCTACTGTAGTTTTGATAGTTTCATTATTATCTGTGAAATAATTACTTCTTTTTGATCGAATCTATGCTTTATACCACTACATGCATGTCAGAAAAGGCTGAAGAATTGTAGCTGCTCCAAAGCAAACTAACCTGACCTGGTAAAAGACATTTCGCCGGCCATATAGTGTATATTTTTGTAGTCAGCATAAGTCAGGTTTCTTGATTTCAGTATCTCTGAAGTGACCTTTAATGTGGCCACCTTCAGTTGCTGCTTGGCTGTGAGTCATTCTGCCTTCAGTTTCATCTGCACTGTACACTACAGCTCATCGGCGTCATGACTTATTTCTCTTCCTATCGCTGTGGTACTACATAATCTTGTTTTCATCAGCCCAAAGACTTTTTTCCAGAACCGTGCTGGCTCTTCTGTCAAAGTCTACTCTGGTCTTTTTGTTCTTCAGCGGAAACAGCGGTTTACACCTTGTAGTCAAAGCCTCTGCATTTCCATTCATGAAGGCGTCTCTTTAGACTACCTCCTCGAAGGTGTACTTCATTTAATTAGATGTTGTGAGACTGTTTTTCCTTAACCATGGATTCACTGCCATTCACTTTCAGGTCTAAGTGTTATAATCAGGGTACTAAAAGGTCTTTTAGGCCTTCTAGTGTTGCAGAGTTGGTCAGTGCATTTAGTCTTTTAAAGAAAGTACCAGGTTGTTGATTTTGCCACTCCAAAGGTTTTTGATGGCTACTTTATTTAGCTTTTCATCTTAATGATAACCTTCTTGGATTGCACTGACATCTCAGTGAAATTCAACACCTTGGATTAACTTTAGATATTAAGTCTGCTTCATTTGTCATGAAATAAGAGGAACAAGCCTCACCTGGCCATGAATGTACTTGTCAGCCAAATGTCCAATATGAGTCTGAGCATCTGAAAATGGAAGATTGTGTGTAAAAATGGCTGTAAGTTGATGTAAAAGCCCTTGAATTAACAATAACATATCGATTGCTTGTTTTAAAACCGATGGTTGTGCTCCAAGAACCACATGCTCCTTTCTTTCTTTCTTCATATGCATAGTGCTTTGAACCAAATAGGCTTATTACGTGTCATATCAATGCAGGGGAAGTTTATCATACAGACCATACT